AATTAAATCTAAAAATATTTAAATGTATTTAATGCATTATTATTTCATTATTAAAGCATTAATAATTTTAATTTGTAGTTAACTAGTTAACAAAGTTAAATAATTAACCCTACTAGGCAGTTGGTGTCTGGTCTTTATTTATTTATTAAACGACATGAGACTTTGAGATTTCTTACACTTGCTAAACTTTATACTTCAGTGCAGTAAAGTAGTGAACTTTGTTATAATAGTTATTTTATAATACCTCCAAAAGCAAAACGTGATAAGAACTAGGGTAGTCTGTCAGCTTTCTCGCCCTTGATGAGTTTGCATCTCTGTATTCTGAAATGCAAAATAAATAGATAATCTATAGCAAAAGAAACGGCAATGTTTGAATGATTCACTATTATACAAACAAAGCAAATGAAGATAAATCTATTTGTAAATTCACCAGTGTGAAAGAATGTTTAGCGTTTAAGATTGATATACATAAGATATACAGTATAATTTTGATACTTCAGCAAATCAGAAAAAGTTGGGATGTTTTGTGAAATGCAATGAATTAAGAATCTGTGATTTGTTAATTCTCTTTAACTTTTATTTAATTGACTAGTAAAAATAAAAGATTTCCAATGTTTTCACTGACCAACTGTATAAAAAAAAAAAAAGTATTTTGTAAATGTAAACAAATTTTGATGGCTACAACACATTTCTAAAATAAGTTGGGACAGTTCTTTAAGTTTAGGTTACTCAGTGTTTTGGCATCATGTAGACAATGTTTGGTGTGAACAGTATGATGGAGTAGTAGTTACAAATTCACAGAATCCACATTCAGACCAAAATATCCGACTTCCTGTTTTTGAGCATGTTAATGATAAACATGCTCTCAAATGATTGAAAAAGAATAATAATAATCTTTAGTAAAACAACAGGGTCTTGTGCCCTCTAGGGTTTGAGCCCTAATAAAACAAACATACAAATAAAGTTACCTGTGCTTTTTTAGACAGGTTTAACAATATTACTCGGGTAAGGAATAGCCTACAAAAGATGTTGTTTGATTAACATGAATGACACAGACAGCGGCAGGGTTATTAGATTGCTGTCACTTTAAGAACTAATTCATGGTTCCAGTATATTGACATTATACTTGTTTCTACCTTAAGCTAAATGTTACAACCCCAAATCAGAAAAAGTCAGGACATTTTGTAAAATGCAATGCATTAAGAATCTGTGATTTGTTAATTCTCTTTAACTTTTATTTAATTGACTAGTAAAAATAAAAGATTTCCAATGTTTTCACTGACCAACTGTATAAAAAAAAAAAGTATTTTGTAAATGTAAACAAATTTTGATGGCTACAACACATTTCTAAAATAAGTTGGGACAGTTCTTTAAGTTTAGGTTACTCAGTGTTTTGGCATCATGTAGACAATGTTTGGTGTGAACAGTATGATGGAGGAGTAGTTACAAATTCACAGAATCCACATTCAGACCAAAATATCCGACTTCCTGTTTTTGAGCATGTTAATGATAAACATGCTCTCAAATGATTGAAAAAGAATAATAATAATCTTTAGTAAAACAACAGGGTCTTGTGCCCTCTAGGGTTTGAGCCCTAATAAAACAAACATACAAATGAAGTTACCTGTGCTTTTTTAGACAGGTTTAACAGTGTTACTCGGGTAAGGAATAGCCTAAAAAAGATGTTGTTTTATTAACATGAATGACACAGACAGCTGCAGGGTTATTAGACTGTTGTCACGTTAAGAACTAATTCATGGATCCAGTATATTGACATTATACTTGTTTCTACCTTAAGCTAAATGTTTGTTACTCAGTCATAGTTTATCATATTAATATAAATAATAAGCTCTTCTGATTCTGATTTCCAAGGTGACGATGTGTGCACTTCAGGCAGCTCTAAATACCAGTGCAACACAGCAGATTTACCTCCGTCTCTCACAACTCTAGTGTATGATATATCAGATATTTATTATGTTGTGATTTAACCGCATTATACTTGTTTCTACCTTAAGCTAAATGTTTGTTACTCAGTCATAGTTTATTGTATTAATATTTTATTTGTTTGTGTAAATTTTATATTTTCTCCAACAGCCCAAGCATACCCATAGTCATATAGAATGCTGCATCAGACAAATTCATAAGGGGAGAAAATGTAAATAATAAATCCGCTGCATAGCAAGAGTTGAGGATGTTCCAGTTTAATTCATTGCATGACTTCCGCCAGTAGTGGCACTCACACAGTGCAAGCAGTGACCCTGTAATACATTCACTAGAAAGACATGCAAATGTGCCTTTAGCATCAGGATCAGGATCAGGATGGGCAACTGGACTCATGAAAGACTTTTGTTTTGGCACAGGCGAAAGCTTTTCTGCAGACTGCTGCTTCACTGTCTCCTCACATGTATGAGCCACATTTTAACTTTGCCATGCTCTCGGATAAGGTATGACTCAACACTGTGTGCTATTCTATCAGTTTTAATGACAGCATTTTATTATTTTATTTTGACTGACCTTTCTTTGTGACTTGAAGGTTGGTGATCTTCAGAGTAGTTACATGGCTGCTCAGAAATCAGAGGACGCTTTTCCTGAGCATGTGGACACTCAGCAGATCCTGAAAAACCTCAGACAGCATTTTGCCACTCTATAAGACCACTTAACTGTAATCACATCACTGATCAGGGATAGAAATGACCTGCAAGCATTGTAGCTATATATAGATATAGACATATTCTGCCTGACATTGCCTGAATACATTAAATACATGTTTATCATGAAAAAAATAAAAATGATCATAAAAATAGCAGTTTTTTAGTACAGCCCTGATGAGGCAATATCACGTAACACAGCTCCAGCCTGCTCCCACACACCTGCTCAGAAGCTTCTAGCAGCCACTCCTGAAGACCTTGATTAACTAGTTCAGGTGTATTTACTTACGGTTGGAGCTAAACTCTGCAGGAAGTTCTAATCCTGATCCAACACACCCATCTGTAATCATCAAGTGCTCCTGAAGATCTTGGCTGGCTCAGTAGTTTGATCAGGGGCCTGTTCTTCTTACGCTGGATTTTATTGCTGGTGATTTGACATGATCCAGGATTGTTAAGTTCTTTGAAGCTCATCCTAGAGTTGCTGTGATAGCAACAGAACTCAGTTCAAACCTGCTCTGGATCAGGCTTATTTCACCTAAACAGGATTCGATTGCATCTGAAAGTCTGTCCCAGCCACTGCTACTTATAATAATTTCAATATTATTTTGAAAATAATTAAAATGTTGCATAATCTTTAAAAATAGACACCACCTCATTTAGAGATTTATTCGTGAAGGAATAATTATCTCATAATTTTATCGCAGTCACACACACATTAAGTACAGTTTGTCATGCATGAATTTGAGCTTTTATGCGGGTGGCTTTGATGAATCACAGGAGATGCACTTCTCAAATCTCAAAATGCTGTTATGATGCACAATTAATTTAAACGGGTAGGCCTATGTCTTAATGGATCTTGTGGATTAAGAAACTTTAATTAATGCTGTCATGTTTAAAAAATCCGCTTTAAAATTAAATTAATTGCTAATTACAATACTCTTGATGTAAAAAAATGCAAAGCCTGTACAAATACTAGAAATTGTGAGAAATAATTGTGACTCTACAGGAGAGGACATGTTCGGTTCATGGATCTTGTGGATTAAGAAACTTTAATTAATGCTGTCATGTTTAAAAAATCCGCTTTAAAATTAAATTAATTGCTAATTACAATACTCTTGATGTAAAAAAATGCAAAGCCTGTACAAATACTAGAAATTGTGAGAAATAATTGTGACTACGGGAGGGGACATGTTCGGTTCACTTAGTTTTGTTGTGGCCATTTACTCATTAGTGAACATTTATTCACTGTGCTCGTTATTTCACTTATATTGCATATAGACCTGCACAAGAATCATGTTATTTACAGTCAAATAATATTACAGGACCCATGGCTGATCGTTCAGTGAAGTCGTGGAGTAACTTGGGGGGAGATTTGGTTACAAAAAGCTTTAAAGAGCAAACATCACTGACCTTTATTTAATTATGTATTTTAATCATTGTTTTTTTAAATTGATTTCAAAAATACAATTCAGTATGTTCTCAAGACATTTAGCAAACAATGTTTATCCACACGAGGATGGAATATCATAAAATAAATAAACTAAGATGAAATGAAAAGTAGAGGGCAACACAAACATTAAATTAATTTCTCTGCGCCGATGCCACGCGCGTGCACGCGGAGGACAGTCGAATTCTGGCAAGGAGTTGAAATTCATAAAGAGTGAAGACAGCTAAACAAACACTCAGGAGGAAGACGGAGGACAAGAGGAGGATGAACGGCCAACAAAACAGGTAATAACAGATAAAAATAGTATGGAGATAATGTGGAGATTCTATGCCACCTCTGTATGTGAATCTAGGAGAAATAAAAATGTACATTTCAATAATGAAGCATAGTTCTCCTTTGACTGTAACACAAACATGCATTTCTGTAAAGCTGCTTTGGAACGATATGTCTTGTGAAAAGCATTGTAAAAATAAATGTGAATTGAATTGAATCCCTGGTATTGAAAACTTTACATTGTTATTTTGACAGCAAAAGAGCAAAAAGACGACCTGTACCCCAAAAGAGGACCAGGTGCAAAACCATTATGACTGTTGGAGATCATATACAAAATAAGATTTGGGGAAACAGGGCCTCGCACTGTTGTACCCATTCTTCTCAAGCTCCACCCAAAGAATTGTGGGACTCTATGTTGACTCTTAAAAATTAATAGTAGATTCAGATATTTCCCACAACAGACATATATTGCCAGTGCAATTTTTTTTTTTAATATTTGATTAGAAATTGTTCTTATATTTACTGGACAACTTAATAAAATGAACAAGTAAAGGCATCTGCACAATATGCATCTTAAATGTGTCATAAGGGCATCTGTGAATTAATGAGAAGTACGCTGTTACATGTTCATCATTTATCAACAATTAAAATTTTTATGGTATTGGGACGATCTATTGCCATGTACGATGTTGAAATCAAGAGAATCTCCAAACGAGAAGTGAGAAATGTTTTAACTCTGCCTTAAATCTGAAGTATATTATGTTTTTGTATAGGTCAAGGTCAGTTTATTTATATAACACATTTAAAAACAGCTAGTGTATGCCAAAGTGCTGTACATATACAAATAAAGTAAATATAGAAATGAAGAGAATAAAAAGAAAAGTCTCAAAAACACATAATCAATACAAAAACACATTAAAATACACAAACATACATTTCATCCAAAAGCCAAGGAATACGGATAAGTCTTCAGGCGGGATTTAAAAACAGGAAGGGAAGGCGCAGATCTAATGTCCAGAGGTATGCTGTTCCATAGTCGAGGACCGGCTACAGAAAAAGCC